ATTCAAAACAATAACAGGATAAATCTCATGACCTATTAAAGACATGAAACTTGCAGTGAAAGGTCCCATGAATATGACTTAAAATGAATTGAAAACAAAATTTAAAAAGCTGGATCACACCTAGATACTTGCTTTAAAATTTCAGAAAACTAAGGATAAAGCGAAAACTTCTAATATTTCTAAAACAAAACAAAAGAAAAATAGATGACTTAAGAAAGAAATGAAAGCTTTGAAGACAGTGCAGCAATATTCTCAAGATAAAACATAAAATGAACAGTTTTAAACATGCCAAGATCTGGAGATTTAACTTCCATAAACACCATTGCAATAAAACAACTAAATAGTATCAAAGGACCTTTGATCTTTACAACCTTGAGTGTAAGACGGAAAATGAAAGTTATTTAAAACTCATAGCCAGGTGTGGTGGTGCACACCTGTGATCCCAGCACTCAGGAGGCTGAGATAGGAGGATACTCTTGATTTGAAGGCCAGCCTGGGCTATATAGTGAAACACTGTCTCAAAAAACCAAATCAAACCAAACCAAACCAAAACCGAAATCCCAGTTACAGCTGAATTCCAAGGGTGGTGGTGATATTATGAAGGCTTATAGGACACACATGTGTAAATACTGTAAGTTTCTCTGGTGTGATAAACTAAAAGTGTAAATAAGTGTCAAAATATATAATTGATATTTTGTAATAGGAAGAAAAGGTCTAAAGGTATTGGACAAATGGGAGCAGTGGGGAAAGGTAAAAAGGGAAAGAAAAAATGAGAAAGGGGAAAAAATGGAAACAAAGTCTGTAAATAGGGAAGAGTGGAGTGGGGAAGGGAGGCAGGGGAATGGGGAAAAAATAAGAACCAAGATACGTCATGTAAAGGTACAAGATCCCAATGGTGAATGTAACTATTTTATATCTAAAATGTACCAATAAAAAAATATATAAAAAACAAAACAAAAAACCTGGAGATGGCCCTGAGACCATTCTAAGAGAGAGAAAATTATGAAGGCTCCGCTGGTTCCACTGGGCTGCCAAAAGGAGGGACCAGTAATGAAGTACAACCTTTGTTTCAACATTAATAAGTTTTCTGAAGGACAAAGGTAGGTCCCCAGTTAATACGTAGAATGATAAATCTATCTGTATAAATTGAGACAGATGAATTTGGGGAAGGATGGAGGGAAGGTGAGAAGCTTGGAGTGAAATGGGTCTGTGCACCATGGCTAGAGCCTGTAACCTGTAGAGAACAGAGGCTAGGAAAGAGTGGTTCCCTTTAGATAGGCTGGCTGAAAGGTATGTCATTAAAACACATCAAAACAACATTTCTTAACTGTTTATCTTGAGCAAACTGTGCGTAGGGAAAAGCTGCAAAATATTATAGTTTCCATTTTTCTCTTACCCAGCTTCCCTAAAATGTTACCATCTTTTATAATCACGATAGTGTTACAAGAACGAGGAAATCAGCACTGGTTTAATGCTATTTAGTTCAGACTTAATTTAAATGTCATCAGTTTTTCCATTTTTGTTCTTTTTCTGTTTCAGAATACTATTCAGAATCCTAAATGACATTTAGTTTCTTTCTTCTGAATTTCCTATCTGCAATAGTTCCTCAGTTCATGCTTGTCTTTCATGACCTTGTCATCTTTAAACAGTACCTGATCAGTCATTTTGTTGAATTTCTTTCAAAGTGGATTTTCTCATGATTTGACCCAGTACATTTGGCAAGATATACCACAAAAATGATAATGTGTCCCTACTGCATTACAGAGCATAGGATTCATGATGTTTTATTACTGGTGCTGTTGAGCTATTACTTAAGGAAGTTTCTGCCATTCTCCTCTGTAATTATTTTTTATTTGGATAGTTATATATCTGTGGGAGATAATTTGATATGCAGTCTGTTTCTCCATAAATGTTAGCTAATTTAGGAGCCTAAATATATTGTCTGCTGCACTTATCGCTGTGATATTTACTTAATGATTTTCTATGTGTCTCTTTCCTTCTACACTGATTAACTGCAACTCTATTGTAAGGAAGAGCTACCCTCCTCTTATTTACTAAATCAATTATGCATTTATTTATATTCTTATTTGGTACTGGGGACAGAGCTCTGGACCTTGCACCTTTGAGATAAGCAGCAGAACCACTGAGCTAAATCCCTGGCCCTCGATTATTTATTTTTAACTACATGGTGCCAGGGATATTTCTTTTGCCATATGAACTATAATTATATAATGCGATTATTATTCATTTTGCTGTTCAGATCGTTCCAGGTTCTGTCATTAGAAGACTCTTTATGTTGATTCCTATGTATCTTTGACAGATCTCACGTCTTTTGCCTCACCACAAGATGTTCAGGCTCATCTTGCTCTCTTCCTGCTCTTGTTGAGATTAATCAATTTTACAAGGAATCCTGGCCCCTTTTATTGGAGAATGGTATTCAGAAACCAAAACTTGAATCTAAGTATGCTTATTACTTTTGGGAAATGTTGGCTCCTAGGCTGTTTCAAACATGTATGAATATATACTGACCCATGCATGTATACTTATCAATATTTCTGTATCTATCTGTGTATAGATGTTAAAAACAATGAGTTCATACTAATACACTGGACTCCAAATCCAACAATACAGGGTTCATTTAACTGGGCTTTTAAAGACAGTAATGTCTAAAGCTAAGTGTCTGGTTTATGTACTCTCTCCATCATCAGTCTTTTCATTGTGACTGCTACACAAACAGCTGAGTATGTAAAGGAAAAGGGGACCTGTCTGGTGCAACACAGTGCAGGATAAGGATACAAGATTATGATATCACCTATACACTAAAGTAATTCGGTGGAAGCAGCAGGTCTGAACCAAGGATGAGTAGGAAAAATGCAAGGTCTCCACTGGGGATAGATAGTATGTTTTGCCATTTCTACTGTACTTTCTGTTCCAATGGCAGACATCAACAGATGATTACCACACACTGACTGACTGAGCCAGGACATGGCTCCAAATTCTCAAACTTGCATTCAGGCAGCCCCTACCTATCAACTAGAGTTCACATTTCAGGTAACACTTATCCCCAAGTAAAGAAATGAGCAGCTGACATAAAACATATTATTTGGGTGAAGAAGAGCATCATTAGAATTTTGTAAAAAGTACAGAAAAAAACCTGATATAACATGGTAAATGAGCACCAAATATTATATCATGTAAGACCAGTTTGTAGGGTCCAGTTCACCATACAAAACGTAGTGTCATCTGGTGGTTTGTTGTTCACGTTGGCTTAAATATTAGGCAGACTTTTGCCTGGCTGAGATTCCCAAGACAGGACAGTGATTCCACGTATCTCCATTAGTCGGCACTTGGCTCAATCACTCATTCCATGGGATTGGACAGAATAATACTGAGGACACAGGACTACCCTCCACATTCCTACTTATCAAGGTGGAGTTGCTGCTGTTGCCCTCCCTGCTGGGATTTCCCCTTCCATTACAAGCCCCCTTTTGTCCAACTCTTGCTCACCCCGACGGAAGAATAGTACTGAGTGGAGAAAGGGAGCTAATCGCCAGTTAGGTTATTTATGAACTCACATTATGGTGAGGGCTTACTATACTTTATGAGAATAGCCAGCAGACAGCTAGAGCATGAACTAAAGATATATAACAGGGACAATCATGATGCAGGCATAGAGAAGATAATAGAGAAGGCTGGTCTTGTGGAGGGGTTACAAGGATAATGTTCACTCCGTCTCAGAAAAAGGATAATGAATACAGTATAGAGATCTTTTTTTCTAAAAATCAGATTGACAAGAAAAAAAAACCTCACAATACAGTATTAAGTACAAGTAATTTGGCAAAAAACCTGTGTATATAGTTCGGTCCTTAAATGAAATGAGTTCTCTTTCATGTTGTATGCCCACTGCTATGCATGGTGAGGACACAGCAGAAAACAGGAATGAATACAGGGTTTCTGCCCTCATAGGGCTTACTACATAACATGATAGATAGTTGAAACCAAAACAAAGATGAGCCTATAGGGAACCAATTTACATTCATGAGGCTAACAGTAGCCTTACTTATAAAATAGAATTATCAATTTATTCAGCTATATTCAAGGTCTTAAAATAGTAGGAATTCTGGATTGCAAGGGATATTGAATGATTTATGTGGCATTTTTAGGAAAGAAATTTGAGAAAATGGTTAGTAGACAAGTGAACAACTGTATTTCTTTGATGAAAAAATAAGGGCTATCTATAGATTTTATTAACAGTGGAATTCAATGAAGCACAATACTTTCTATCTTCTGACCTGGGAAATGTTTCTATCTCTTGGATGAAGATTTAGGTGACACTCAAGTATGTATTATCATGTACACATTGCCAAAGCATCTCTTAGAGTGATAAAATTTGAAGACTGCTTATCTTAATATTAATATTAGGTCAATTTACTATCTTCAATGTCAGAAAGATCTTTTCCTATATTTTAAATGAGTAGTGAAATAATAATAGTGACTATACATAAAGAATATTTACTTTGGGCCAGTGATTTAGCTAAGTGGTTCTGCTGCCTACCTCACGAGCACAAGGTCCCAAGTTCAATCTCCAGTACCAAAAAAAAAAAAGGATTTACTTTGTGCCAGGCACTTTACATTTATTAAATCATTAGATCTGCAAAACAAATTTTCAAGGTAAGTATTACAGTTGCACAATCTCTTTTCCAAACTTTAGGGAACTAAATGTGTTTTCAAGGTGAGAATACTTTAAAATTAGAAAGGAATTGGAATTCTTTGGAGTATAACAAATATTTTGTAATTGAATAAGAGATTGTACACTGTAATAAAACACATTCATATTTCTGGAAAAAATGTATAAAAATTCACACAAAGACCATACATAATGCACTTTATTTACATAAATAAATTAGCAGATTTATCAGTAAGTGAAATTTGTTAGTATAAATTTGTTGGTAAATGAAAACATAGACCAAACATACTTAAAGTTTCTTATTTTTTCTGCTACTTTGATAGTGCTTCTCATTTTCAAGGACATTTTTATGTAAAAAATTGCTGATGAAAAGTGACCCACAACATATATACATGCAATAAATATTCATCAATTCTGGTTGCTTGAGAATCTTGGAAGAATGGTTACATTAATGTCACCATTGTTGACAAAATTAGGTTGCAATTGAACATATGTAGATGAACCAGAAAGTTTCTCAAGTAATGAAGAAGCATTAATACAGAGAGCTTTTTAAAACTTTTCCCAGTGTCATTTGTCTCCTTAACACAGGTTTCTGTCTAAGTAGTTTCTCTTTAATTGAGTAAACTGCCATGATCTCTTGTTTACTGATAAATGTACATTGTTCAAGGCCAGCAATTAACTGGTCACACATTTTCACCATTTGGTCTATAGAGATTTTTTTCATCTGGGCTCACAATGTCATCGTCATTACTGCTACTACCTTCATATTGATCTATGCCCAAGCCCATCTTAGCAATTTTCCTCTCACTCAAAGGATGCACAACAGGTGCATCACTGTCAATGTTCAGTATTTCTTCAATGTCAGCTTCTTCTAACTTATTTACACTTTCAGCTGATAAACTTTTGGCATAGGTAATGAGTTTTGATATCATTATCTTCTCATTAGAGTCCTTAAATCCTTCGAAAGCTTCATCAGCAAGTTCATTTTCAAACATCATTGCAGCCCACAGTCTGTGCCAAGCATTTGTTAATGTTGACTTATCAATATCATTCCAAGCATTAGCAACTGCATAGATGGCATCCTTAAGACTAAATTCTTTAAGGAAATCCTGGATTTTCAGGCCTCTGTTAACTGAAGCAAGCATGCTGTTCAAAAAAAAATGTTTATACTTGCTCTTCATGGAACGTAAAATTCCTTGGTCACAAGGCTGTATTATAGATGTCACATTAGAGGGAAGGTAAATGCTGAAGACATTACTTTTCACAAGAAGTTCTGGAGGAGGATGTGCAGAACAGTTGTCTAGAAATAGTAAAATTTTGCAATTGTCTGCCAGTCCAGCTTGTTTGCAATGAGCTCGTGCTGCTGGCACAAAGTACTTATTGAGCCAGTCAGAAAAGATTTCTCTTGTCACTGACGCTTTCTTGTTTGCATAGTAATGCACAGGTAAACTGCCTACATCTTTTAAACACTTTGGATTTAGGCTTTTTCCAATCACTGCCAATTTTATCTTGTGTGTTCCTGCAGCATTAGCACATCCAAGAACAGTTAATCTTTGCTTGGCATCCTTGAGGTCTGTTGGTACCCATTCATTAGCAATTGTTAAAGTTTTTCTAGGAACATAACACCAGTACAGAGCTGTTTCATCAGCATTGTAAATCTGTTCAGGGCTAAGGTTTTCATCAGATATTATCTTAGCAAATTCATCAATGTAATTTTCAGTAGTTTCATGATCAGAAGCTTTTTCACCATGCATTTTAAGATATTTGATACCATGACGCTTTTTAAATTTCTGCAGCCAGCCTTCTGAATACTCACACTCACTTTCAATGTTCAGTTCCTCATGGTATATTCTAGCTTGTTTCATGACCAACAAACCAGTCAGTGGCATATGTTTACTTCTTTGTTGTCGAATCCATTCAATCAGCACGCGGTCAAGATCTTCATTTTTGGCCCTATGCAATGTTTTTCTATTTTTCATTAGCTCTTGGTTATCACTGTCACTATAAAATTTTAGCAACTTATCTTTCTGCTTCCTCAAGTCGTATATGGTGGTGGTTCCCACACCATACTCTTCAGTAAGATGTCTCACGGACATACCAGCATCAAGCTTCTGCAATAACTCCACTTTCTGAGCTATTGACAAGGACAGGTGCTTCCTTTTCTTCCTTTCACTGTTACCCATAGGTATATCTTTAACTCTTTTGGACATTTTCCAATACAATTAATCCTCAAGACACAAAATGTCAGCAAATAACAGAGTCATGTGTGATGGATGGATCTGAATGCTAAGAAAACAGAGGCTCCTTGTTTGCTCATGGTAGGTTTTGTTGCCAAATAGTCCTGGTGCCAAATGTGTAAAACACTTTTGGGTTTCAGAGTGCTTTCTGTTTTTGTCTTATTTTGGAATTGCAGAGCAGAGATTGTGGACCTGTGTTAAAAATATCATTTTAATGATGAAAAGACTGAGGCTGAATTAGTGCTCAAGATTATTCAACTATTACATACCTTCTGCTTATTTTCAATCTCATAAAATTTGGTCATTTCACTGGATAGAATTTTTTTTTTTTTTTTTTGCAGTACCTGCCAAGATGATATGAGTTGGAATAGTTTTTTTAGCAAAGGAACCTGACGGTCTTGGCTGTGTGACTGACACAGGAGGTGAACCCCAAGCTTGATAACATAGAGATGTCTTAGCAAGATGTCAGAGATCTTAAAGTTATAGTCATTGAATACAGATTTCCCTTTCTATATCAAATCATCTGTTTGGTAGTTATTTGCATGGCTATTTATTACTCCTTCGTGAACAATAAAAAATACAGCCCTTCAGATAATGTGCCACAAATTTTTACTCATCTGAAAGGATTTTATTTGCTTGTTTTTAAACTGTGACTCAGAATTATTGTCAATCAAGTTCAGAATTGAAACACATTTTAGATATTCTAGTAAGATATTTCTTTTTACTTAATTTGCTGTTTGGGCCTTATTTCACAAACTGCTTTATAAATCCCTATTGGGAGCCAGCTTTTCTTCCTCATTTTTGTCATCCTTATTTTTAGACCTTCAACAAATGCCTGCTATATAACAAAACTCTAAAGACTTTTCATTCAATCCCAGGTCTCTGTATTTTCCCATTCGGTGCAAGACCAATCCTTTGCGTTGAGAGGTCTATAAAAATAAGTCAAGCACGGTTCCCAATTACCCAGAAGATTTTAAAATCCAGTAAATAAAAATGTGAGAAATGTATAAAAACTAACAAGAGAGAAAGATATCATATTTGTTTGTTGGGTTAGAATATACATTATTTTTTCTATATTGCCCTTTCCCATTAGATTGTAATAATAAAGTACCACCCCTTATTTGGTACATTTTGTGTGTCACAGTGTCACACAGAGAAGCTAACATTAAGAAGCATCACACTCAATAGTTACCTTGACCTTGCCCAGTATCCAAACTTCAATGTGACAGACTGTCAGCCACCTATCTGGTCAGCCATGAAATCCTACTTGTTTCTTAATATTCTCTTACTTTCATTTCTAGCAAACTTTCTGCATTACTATCTCTCCCTTCATTATAGTCCTTTCTCCTACATAAAAGAAAAGAATCTTCATTTTCCTGCCCATTAAAGAAATAATTCAAATTATTTGTTTTGGGGAAACATCCTTCAGTAATTAAAGCACATAAAACCCATTAATGAGTAACCAAGAGGTGGAGGGTAAGGATGAAGAGGATAAAAAAGAATTAAGGTGTGTTATGTACATGTACCAATTCCCCACAAGGAATGTAATCATTATGTACTGCAAAAACATACTAATAAAAAGAAGTTGAAAAAATGCTTAATGCTGTCTTTCTTAAACATTTCTGTAAATGGTAAAGTGTTGCTTTAGAACCAAGGTATTTTGGGATACTCTGAATTAGAACAGGCAGCAGAGATGACTCTGATTCTTCCGTTTTGGGAGTATGCAATTTGCTTTACAGAGTGTCCCATAATAGCAAAACAAAGTTTAAAAAATGAAAAAAAAAATTTGGGGGGGCTACCAGGGATCAAATTCGGATCTTTGCACTTGCGAGGTAGGAGGCAGAACCACTGAGCTAAATCCCTGGCCCCTGAAAAATATTTTTTAAAGAAACAGTTCTTTTTGGCTGTTTTTAAAAAAATACTATTCATCCTATGACTTGTCATTAGTCAGTAAGAAAAGTACCTCCAAAGAGCCTAAACAGTAGTAATAGCAATCCTGATTTACTTATTAGTATGACCATGTTTTAGGAACAGCAAATTCTTCAAGGTGCACTCATGAAACCCATACATAAAATTTTTTAAGATTTATTTCATGGGGGCTGGGAATATAGTTTAGTAGGAGACCACTCTCCCAGCATGTGTGAAGCCCTGGGTTCGATCTCTAGCACACAAAAAACAATTGGTTATATCGTGTGTGTTCATATTCTGCTTCTGCTACTAATGTTGAGTAATTGAACATGTTAATTAATTTTTCATGGTCTTCATTTTCCTCCCTTTTAAATAAAAAAGTCCAACCAGATCATTTGTAGGTTGCTTTATATTTCTAATATGCTATACTTTTGTGACTTAAGACTTAGGAGTCTTAGATGACTAAAAAAAAAAAAAAAACTAAAAATACATTTTTCTTACCTTCTTATTTTTTTTCTGCCCTTCTTCTTTTATCCTTTCCTTCCTTCTTCTAATATTATGAAAGACTTGTGTGCATATAGCAGAGACTACATTTTTTTAGGATTTAATGAAATTGATCTTATTATTTTATAATTCATTAGTGATTTTTGGCTTTCCTTAACCAAAAATAAAGAGACTATTCGTGAGACCATTATTTCTCCAAGTAATCTCAAAAGCAGACACTAAAGATAATATTTTCTAAAATAACAAAGGTCATATTAACATAATACTTCTTTCTGAGGAAGTTAGAAAGCTGAAACAGTTAATCAGATATAAAATTCTGGAATTACACGGACACACAGGAGTCTGAGATGGTTGTTGAAGAATGTATATGTGCAGTCCACTTACACCACCTTGTGCTATTTCCAAGCCAATGTAATCCATGATCTATAAATAGTGCCCTTTTGATTTTAAGTAGTTCTGTTTTGGTAATTCTGAATGGATAATCCAGTCCATGGCAATATCATCCTGAACGCACCCGATCTTGTCTGAATGCATGATCCAGGGGGTGACGTGGTTTTTCCTATCTGCAGTATTAATGTACAGTGAGGAAAAATTTTGAAATGTTAGTGCTGTGCTTTTCTTTCTTGCCCCCAATATTGCTGCAGAGGCATTTGTACTGACTTGTGGAGAACTGAGATTATTATATCAGTGGTACAAAGACAAAGAAATAGTATTTATTTGAATGACTTTTCTAAGAAGAGAAGAGTAAGTAGGGAACCTGGTGGAGAGATGGTCATCGGCCAGTTTTGGAGAACTATCTATAAGCCAATTCACCTCTTAACATTGGAATAAACATGCCACTTTGGGTAGAGGAGCCACAGGTGCTGTTGTCATCACTGTCAGGTCATTATAGTCATCTAGAGTAGGCCTCTTAGCTCACCCAGGTGAAGGATGTCCACTTGTACCCTAAGGCTTTCCTAAGTTTCTACCTGAATCTTCTCTGTAAATAGTCTAAGATGCTCATGATCCTTTTAAAAATAGTGTGAGTTCCTTCACTATTAGAGCATGCCAAAGATGAATTAGAATGAAAGCCACAGTTCTGGCAATTATAACGGTCTGGATGGTGGAAAACCTCTACTTGGTTTGTATTTATGTATACATACATGTACACTAAAACAACAACAACAACAACAAAATACCAAGGTGTTAAGATTAATTAAAATGGTATATAGCCGGGCGTGGTGGCACACGCCTGTAATCCCAGCACTCGGGAGGCTGAGGCAGGAGGATTGCTGTGAGTTCGAGACCAGCCTGGGCTACAAAGTGAGTTCCAGGTCAGTCTCAACTACATAGTGAGACCCCGTCTCAAAAAATTAAAAAAAAAAAAGGTATATAAGAAAACCTATTCATACATCTGAGCAATGAACTTTTATTGACTATCTAATATAAACTGTAAATATTTAGTTCATATTTTGAAACCAGATTCGGTGTTAGATACTGAGGATGAAAAAAAAAAAAAGAAAAGAAAAGAAAAAAGAGGGAGAGAGATACTCTCACTGCTTTCAAGGAGTTACAACGATGCTGGAGTGCTATGATATCTGTAAGACTTTATTCACAGAACATATATTAATTGAGCAGCTTCTATGTGTTAGGCTCAGTTTTATTCTAGAGCTCTAGTAATGAACAAATTGGATTAAAGTCTTTGTTTTATAAACTGATACCATAATCAGGAAGACATAGCATATATAAGATAATTTCAGTTACCTTAAGTATTATGAAGAAAGTAAAATGGGCCAATTTGATAGGAGGTAACTGGCTGGGGAGTAAAGGGAACAACTTCAGGAAAGGCTGGTAAATAGCCTCTTTGAGGATAGTATAATTAAGAATAATGGAGCCAGGCATGGTGGCGCATGTCTGTAATCCCAGCACTCAAGAGGCTGAGGCAGGAGGATCACTTTAAATTTGAGGCTAGCCTGGGCTACATAGTGAGTTCAGGGCCTGCTTAAACTACAAAGGGAGACCCTGCCTCAAAACACCTCGCCCCAAATGGGAAGAAGTTAGTCATGCAAAAACATTTTGAAAAAAAAAAAAAAAAAAAAAGCACAGGAGCTCTCAGGCAAGCACTAGTTTATAGCAATATGTGTTCTAAAAATGGCTAATGATGCAGTCTGTGCAGGGTCAGGACTGGGGTGTCCTTCACTGAGGATGTGATGTAATTTCACACCCTGATGGAGTAAATGCTTAATAAATGAATGAATGTTCCTTCTCTCTGAAATAATACAGCTTTAAAATGTTCAGTACAAATTTAAAAAGAGCTCCAAATAAAAAGACCTCCCCTTTTGCACATCCAGTCCTACTTTCCAGAAGCAACCAATTTTATAATTTGTTTTTAGTTTTTGGCAGATACTACAGATATCTTTAAAATAAAATGCCCTTAATGTTATTTCTTCATGTATTAAGCATAGACTATTGTCTATTTATTTTGTACAATGATACACATTTATTTCAAGACAGTTATTTTTTCTCCCTCTATTGGTTACCTTACATCTTTAAGTATTAAACTTACAGATTTTTCTTCATTTCTATTTGTGTGTGTGTGTGTGTGTGTGTGTGTGTGTTTGTGTGCGAGCACGCGTGTTTACCTGTGCATATGTGTGTGTGGTGTTGTTAGGAATGGAACCCAAGGCTCATGCTAGGCAAACACTAGCACTGAGCTACAGCCAAGCTCTTCCTACTTTGACTCCTACTTTGTAAGACTGATATTTTATAGACATAGGCCTTTCTGTTGGTTATCTTTTTCTACTTTCTATTTATACCTTTGCAGGGCACAATCTCTGATCTTATAGAATTTAATTCCATCTTTTTTTTTAGCATATTGTAGAGATTCCTTGATGACCTAGTGTGTAGTTTCCTGTGTATTTTCTTTATCTGCCATTAAGCTGTACCTAGTCATACTGAAGTATGTACGCATTTACAGTTTTTGAAGCTTTTGTGTGTTCTTGCCTTTTCTTCATTGCTTCATGTCTTTCCATTGCTTGGAGTGCCTTTCTCCTGTACTTTACTGGCAAGTCTCATTGTTCATTTTAGCCTACTAGTTAAAAAACATTTTTCCTGGTAGATGTCATTTATTAAATAAAAATAGTAATTGAATATTGGTTATGTGTAAGACATAGCTATAACGTATGAAGGCTATAGTGGTCTAAGGCAGACACTCAGCTGGCATTCTAGTGACTTAATCAACAGACTTAATAAAAATGACCTCCACTGCTGGGCCTGGTGGCACCCACCTGCAACCCCAGTATTTCGGAGGCAGAGAGAGGGGGATGCCATGAATTTGAGGTCAGCCTCAGCGATAGAGTGAGTTCAAGAATAGCCTGAACTACATAGTGAGACCCCGTCTAAAAAAAAAAGCAAATAATCAGCATTATGAAATCTGCTGCATGCCTGGGATTGTACTAAATGACTTGGCTGTGTTATTTTAATTCTCTTAAGAACTTTATGAGACTTGCAGAAATTAAATATCCTTCCTGGGATCACTCCCTGGAGGCAGCTTATATGCAAATTAAAAGTCTGTGACTTTACAGCCACTACTGTTGTTTTGTTTGGTTTTATTTTAAGACAGAGTCTGCTGTGTAGTCCTGTCTGATCTTGAATTTACTATGTAGCCTGAAAATTGAGGCTATCCTCCTGCCCCAGGCTTCAAAGTGCTGGGATTATGAATGTGCACCACCATTCCTGACTTAGTGCCAGTACTTCTGTGCTACACTCGCTCTGCTCCAAGTACTCTATACTTCTACTACAGCATTTTTCACATTACTTCACAATTGTGTTTGTCTCAATTTTCTCAAGATGGTGTAGAACTAGTACCATTTTAAATGTACAGGAGAGAAGTTAATATATTATATACAAGGGTTCCTTTAAGACATGAGGGATTAAGTCTGTCTTGAAACCCCAGACTGAGAAAAGGTTGTTTTAGGCTTCTTAAGGGTAAAGACATCTGGCACACAGTAGTTATTTGATAATTTTTTGTTTGTTTGTTTGTTTTTGAGACAGGGTCTCACGAGGTAGTTGAGACTGACCAGGAATTCACTATGTAGCCCAGGCTGGTCTCCAACTCACAGCGATCCTCCTGACTCAGCTTCTCAAGTGCTGGGATTACAGACATGTGCCACCACGCCCGGCTGTTATTTGATAAATTTTTGAACCTGTATGCAATACTTTTTAATCAATAACATATAGTTTTCAAGATGAAAAACAAATGGCTTTAGTCCTACTATTGGAGGTGGCTTTCCAGGAGGATTTATGCACTCCAGTCCTTCCTTAATAGAATCCCAGGGGTATTGGATCTTAACTTTGGGAAGCAGCAGAATGCAGTGTTTAATTGTACAGGCCCTGGAACCAAACTTCCCAGGTTAGTACTGCAATTCCATTGTTTACTAATTAAGCAAATTTAAGCATGTTATTAAGTGCCAGGTTTTAGAATTACTATACTATTAATATTAACTGATTAATCTTCTTAACATCTTTATGAAGTACATACCTTTATTATTCCTTAATAGCTTTATGTCCTCATTTCTTCCTCTGTTAAGTAGGAATAATAACAACAAATCACTTTATAGTTGCTCTTAGAATGAAAATGGTTATAAATTGCATAGAATAGTATCTGGTACACAGAAAGTTAGCTATTAAAGTTCATCTTATTGTATTATGCTTTGTATTACTGCACTTTGTAGATATCGTGATTTTTTTTTAAACAAATTGAAGGTTTGTGGTAATACTATGTCAAAGAAGTCTACTGGTGGCATTTTTCCATCATTAAAATTTTTTCATTATTGTATGTTATGGTAATCTGTGATCAATGATCTTAACGTTACTACTGTCACTGTTTTTGGGCACCATGAATCTCACCTATATAAATGAACTTAAATTGATAAATGTTGTTTCTATTCTGGGTACTCCAATGACTGGTTGTTTTCTTTCTCTCTTCAAGCCTCCTTATTCTATGAGACACAACAATAATGAAATTAGGCTAAAAAAAATTTTTTTTTTTGGTATCAGGAATTGAGCTCAGGACTTGAGCTTGTGAGGCAGGTGTGGCACCACCAAGCTAAATCCCTGGTTCTAAGCCAATTTTAATAACCCTACAGAGACCCCTAAGTTTTCAAGTGAAAAGAAGAACAGCACATCTCTCACTTTAACTGAAAAGCTAGAAACGCTTAAGTACAGTGAGGAAGACATGTCACAAAATGAGACAGGCTGATGCTATGCCCCCTGCACCAGTGAGCCAAGTTACAAATGGAAGGGAAAAATTCTCAAAACAGGTAAAATTCACACGTTAGTGAACACATAAACTACAAGAAAGTGAAACAGTCTTATTGTGGACATGGAGAAAGATTCAGTGGTCTGGAGAGAAGATCAAACCAGCCACAATTTTCCTTATTGAAAGCCTAACTCACAGAAAGTCCCTAAAGTTCTTCAATTCTATGCTGAGAGAAGGAAGTAACCAAAGAGTCTGAAACTAGTAAAAGTTGGTTTATAAGGTTTCAGGAAAGATGCCATCTCCAAAACATAAAGTACAAGGTAAAAGAGCAATTGCTGCTGGAGAAGTTAGAGCAAGTTATCTAGATTGGCTAAGATCTGGGTGAAGCTGGTGACACTAAACAAATCATTCTCAGTGTAGACAAAACAGCCTTTATATCAGAAAATATGGAAGTCTTATAACCAGAGATGTGAATGCCTGGTTTCAAAACTTCAGAGGACAGGTTGAGTCTCTCACTAGAGGCTCACACGTAACTAGTGGCTTTAAGTTAAAGCCGGTGCTTATTTGTCATTTTGAAAACCTTAGGGTTCTTAAGAATTATACTAAATCTACTGTTTGAACAACAAGGTCTAAATGACAGTACATCTGCTTATATTGTGGTCTACTAAGTATTTCAAGCTAACTGTTAAGACTTACTGTTTAGAAAGAAATAGAAAAGATCTCTTTCCCAAAAAAATAAAGGATACTTTTTAAAAGGGGGGGTTCCTTTCCAAATATTACTGTTCATTGACAATGTACCCAAGAGTTCTGATAGAGACATACATTCATGTTTCCATGTCTGATGATACAACTTATAGCCCATGGATCAAAGAGTAATTTCACCTTCCTAGCTCTTACTATTTAAGAAATGCATTTTGTAAGGCGATAGCTGCCATAGATAGCGATTTCTTTGCTGGATCTGTACAAAACAAATTGAAAACCTTCTGGAAAGGATTCATGATTCTAGATTCTTTTAAGAACATTTATGACTTGCTGTAGGAAGTCAAAACATCTGAACAGGAGTTAAGAAGAAGATGATTCCAAGTTTTGATTTTGAGGGACTCAGGATTCAGTAGAGGAAGTCACTACAGATGTGGTAGAAATGGCTAGAGACCTAGAATTAGAAGTGGTATCTGGATTACCTGGTGTGATGGGGCACACCTGTAATCCCAGTACTTGGGGGGCAGAGGCAGGAGGATCACCATGACTTAGGGTTGAACAAAGAAAATGGCTTTTTGAGATAAAATTTACTCCTAGTGAATATGTTGTGAATGTTGCTGAAATGACAACAAAGGAATTAGAATATTACATAAATTTAGTTCCTAAAGTACTGGCAGAGTTTGAGAGAATTCAGTCTCATTTTGAAAGATGTTCTACTATGAGTAAAGTTCTATGAAACATTATTGTATGCTGCAAAGAAGTCATTTGTGAAAGGAAGAGTCAATTGATGTGGCAATTTTCATTCTTATTTTTAAAATTGTCACTTCACAGTGACCATCACCCTGATTAGTCAGCAGCCATCAATACTGAGACAAAACCCTCCACCAGCAAAAATATTACCACTCACCAAAATCTCAGTTCATTATTAGCAACTTTTAGCAAGAAAGTATTTTTAAGAATTAAGGGATATACATTTTTAAAGACAATGCTATCACATACTTAGCAGATGACAGCATAGTGTAAACACAACTTTTATACTCATTGGGAAACCAAAAATTTTATGCAGCATTTTATTGTGGCATTTGCTTTTCTGTGGTGGTCTGGAATCAAATTCACAATACCAATAGAGGCGTAAGAAATCATCTTGATATAATTTAGAAAATGTTCACTTCAAAGACAAAGAATTTTCCAGTCACATTGGCTTTGTGTCTTTAAGGCAAAACCTAGTAGCTGATGCTGAAATGGGAAATGTAGGAAAAAAATACCTCTGAAATTGGTCTTCTGTTTTGTAGATACTCTGCCATCTCCCAAGTCCACATCACCATGTCTTGCTGGTATGACTATAGTAGGTTCCTAACTGGTCAAATAGCATCCTCGTTGGTGGCTTTTTTTCTCTTCTCCAGGAGATTAATCTTTTAAAAAGAGAGATGCAGATTGGATTCTACACTGTTTATCCTTAAAACAATCCAGTAGCATTTCAAAAAATCCTAATTATAATTTGGCTAAGGCTGAGGGTCTGGCCTTGGTGAGTCCTTCCAAATACACTCCTCCTCGTAGTCTCCCTAGCAGCCACATCAGCTTTTATTCACTGATCAATAAATATGTTCGCTTGCCATGTCCTTGTATTTATAGTCACTGAGGATCCATCAGTGGCCAACAGAAACACAGTTTTTATACTTACAGCACTTATACTTTATGAAGAGGAGAAACAACCAAAAAGTATAGTAATTATTAGTTGTAATAAGTATAAAAGTGTAATTAAAAATCTGCAAATAAATGTGAGGATCCACTTGAGATAAAACAGAATATTTTTTAAAAAAGCAATACTTCAGGTGATTTCCAAGGGAGGAAGAGAAAAGAGCAATCTAATGGATGGGGAAGAGAGAATTCACATAAAGAGAAGAACCCATGCAAAACTTCATACTTGCTGGAAAGAATGTGATGTTTCAGATACCCAGTGAAGTCCTGACATGCAGGACTCGAAAAGCCAAGATAGATGAAAAACTTATTCCTCCCCCCCATTTCTTCTTGTAGAAAATTTCAAAGTTATGTTTAAAATTTGAAAGAATGTATACCATTATACTTGCCTTCTAGATGCTCTATTTATTTGTTTACTTGCAGTAGTGAGGATTGAATACACTGAGTGCTGAGCTACATCTCCAGCACTTTTTGAGATAGAATCTTGTTAAGATGCTTAGGCTGGCCTTGGACTTAGTATTCTCCTGCCTAAGTGTCTAAATACGTAGGTGGAATTACAAGTATGTGTTACCATACCTGGCTTCTATTTTTTGTCAGATCCTTTGAAGATAAGTTGCAGACACTTTGTTGCTGAATAGATCAGCAAATATATTCTAAAAATAAAGAAATTCTACATAGTCACAAATTCATTGTTATATGCAAACAATTTAAAATGGATCCAGTAGCATTTAATGGGGTCCATATTTAAATTTCTCCAATTAGCTATCAAATGCCTTTTGGAGTTTTAAAAAAATTCTATGAACCAATTAAGATTCATGAATTTCAGCTGGGTGTGGTGGCACATGCCTGTAATCCCAGCATTTGGGAGGCTGAAGCAGGACTGCTTCCAGTTTGAGGCCAGCCTCGATTACATAGCGAGTTCAAAGCAGGCCTGAACTACACAGGGAGACACTATCTAAAAAAAAAAAAAAAAAAAAAAAAAAAAAAATTCTCGATTTTCATTTAGGGTTTTTCTCTTGATTAAAGTTGTCTTCTACTTTGTTTTGTTGTTCTGGTAATAACACTGACAATTTTGAAGGGCTTATTTTTTTTTCTTTCAACAGTACAGGGATTGAATGAACACAGGGCCTTTTGCACTGATGTATAAACCCAGATCTTTTTGTTTTTTATTTTAAAACAGGGTCTGGCTAAATTCCTAAATTGCCCAGAATGTGCTCAAACTTCTAATCCTCTTGCTTCAACCAGCCCTTTTAAAATTTTGTGCTGCGATTAGAGGTGGGTTGCCACACCTGACTCCAGGATATATGCAATGGTCTCTTTCTGTTTCCTCAGATTAGGTTCCTACTAAACATTTCTGGCACAAATATCTTTACTTGGTTAAGATATGTCTAATAAATACCTTCATTGTAAAATTACTTTTTGTTGACAATTAAGAAATAGTCTGTGGTGTGATTCTTCAGCATAGTGTTAATATCTTATTCTCCAACTACCTTTCAGTCAATATATATACATCTATTTTTTTTTAACTTGTTAAATTGAAAAAACAAACAGTTTCTTGTATCATGTGCTGATAACATTGATTACTTTTATGATCCTGGAATTTGAGGGAATTTTGCCTCACCAGCAAGCAAGCAAACAATTTTGCAGTGGACATCAGATGGGTGTCCTCTAATTCAATTCCGACACTATGTATTGGAAATAACATCAGATCAAACAAGTGGAGAGCTGTCCTGTAAGACCACCTCCACTTCAGACCTAGTTGCAAGTCTAGGTTCCCAGAATTTCTGAATTACCAGGTACAGTTAGGGTTCTTTAGACACTCTCTTTGGGTTTAATTTTGCTAGAGTGGTTCACAGAACACGGGGAAATGTGATACTTAAATTTATTAGTTTATTATAAAGGATATTTTCAAGGATACAAATAAGCAGCCAGATGAAGAGACCATGGGGTAAGGTCAGAAAGAGCCCCAAGCTCAGGAGCTTTTGTCCCTATGGAGTTGGAATGTGCCAACCTCCTCACATATGGTGAGCTGTTGTTCACCTTCTTACAAGCTTCCATGTATTCAGCTGTCTAAAAGCTCTCTGATAACTGTACCGTGTACCTAAAATGTACCAATTAACTCAATGAGAAAAAATATAAAAATAAAAGTTCTCGGAACCTTGTCCTTTCAGGATTTTACGGAAACTTCATTGCATAGGAATGACTGAGCACGGACAACCATAGAGAAATGTAATTGCACAAAGAGTATGATCTAATAAAGATTCTTCTTGGCCTTTCTGTGTAATATTCTTTCCTCCTGGACATTCCTCTGTTTGAAATAAGGGTCTTACAACTTACTACTAGAGAAGGAAAATCAGAGAATTTCTGTATAGCCAGCACTAAGACAGACCAGTGGGAGATTAGTTTCTATGTGCTATCTTGGGGAAGAGAAATTTTTGTTTCTATGGCCTGCCGTGGAGAGGGAGTGATAAGCCAGGAGCTATGGATTAGAAATCCAGATATATACATTATGTTACAGCATATGCATTGCTATGATAACTTTGAATTTATGAATTAGACACAGTAAGCGATTCACAATAACGAAATAGAATCATGACAACATACTGTAACAAGTTAATGTGAATGTGATATCTCTCTCTACTCATTCTTGTAACAATGTGAGATACAATGCTGACATGATGAAATGAAGCAAGGTGCATGGCATAGGCATCGTGATGTGGATTAGGCTGTTACTGACATTCTGACAACACTTATTTTGAGCACAACTGGTTGTGGGCTCACTTTGGAAAGTGACAATATGGATAAGATGAGACTACTGTATTTTTTGCTGCTTTTTTTTGGTTAACAGTACAAACAAGATTTATTTCTAAAAAGTCACTGGAAGGCTTTAAGCAAGGGCATAATAATCTTCATTTCAGATTAGTTTGGTAGCCCTATGATGAATAGCGTGGAGAGGTATAGGACCTGAATCATGAAGACCAGGGGGAGGCTGTGGTGGTCTGAACAATGAAATGATAAGGGAGTATTTAGTATTTAGTTCACTTAAAATCTGAAAACACACACTGATCCCTCCATCCCCATGTGAAACTAGAAAGGAAGTTAGGGCGAGGGGGATTCTGGGATTGGGAGTATAAAAATGGCCAAAGTATGTCATGTGCATATACAAATCTGCCAAAATGAAACCCATTAATCTCTATAACCAACAAAAAAGGGAAAAATTTGAAAAGGGAAATAAAATCCCTGAAAGTAAAAGAGATGCATTTGTTTAGGAACTTGATGAGACTGGTGAGGTAAAGGAAGATTCATAATGATTCTTTGCCTTGAAAAACCTAGTAGACAGTTTTGCCATTTTGTTCATTTTTTTCCCCCTTTGGTACCAGGGATTGAATTCAGGATCTTGCGAGGCAGGCATGGTGCCACTCAGCTAAATCCCCCCCCCCGCTTTTTTTTTTCTGGTACCAGGGATTGAACTCACAACCTTGCACCTGTGAGGCAGGTTTGGTGCCACTGAGCTAAATCCCTGGCCCACTCAGTAGTGCCATTTACTTAGATTTTGAAGAGTAAGACTTGGGTTTTCTAATAGAAAAACTAGAGTCCTACACTTGAATATTTTGAAGTAGAGATATCTGTCACATATTCAGTTGGAGATCTAACTGGGTTCTAGGATATTTCCATCTAATTGGAGACCTGAGGGCAGGTTGGGAAAAAAGGAATTTAGGTGTCAGATTTTATAAAGATGCTATTTCAACTCCTAACAGCTGAAAAGGCTTTCAAGAGGAAAACTATGGAGGAAAGAATAAAAGGTGGTGGTTGGGGTGGAAAGAATTGAAGATTCCTACAATTTAGTTTGAGTAGAAGAGACAGAAAAGAGATTAAAATGAGTAGCTAAGGAGGTTATGAGTACAAAATGAGTGAGAACCCAGCAGCCAAATGAATACTGTTTCAAGGTGGACAAAAAACTAAAAATACACACACACACACACACACACACACACACACTCAAAATCCTGGGAATGGTAGCACACACCTGTAATTGAGCACTGGGGAGGCTCAGGCAGGAGGATCACTGGATGTTTGAGGCCTGCCTGGGCTACATAGTGAGTTCAAGGCCAGCCTGAACAGGGAGACCCTGTCTCAAAAAACTAAAATAAAAAAAAAAATCAAGGTGAAAATATTTGTGTGGGTGAAACATTCTATTGTGGAATGCTGTGGGAACTGGAATAAGATAACCAAAAATCCATCTGACTTTTGTTTCCTCCCTTCTTCCATGGGTGGTACAGTGTTCCTTCTGATTGGAATGTTCACTTTCTTAACGTGGTTAACTTTGAGGATCCTTAAAGATCCTCAAAGATGCAGATCAAACATTGGCTCAGGTTCCTCTGGAAAACATCTTACAGCTATAAGAACATTTCCTTAAAGGCACGCAGTACAGTTATAATTTCTCAATTATTTGTATTCTAAGATGATTATCTCTCCCGTTAGAATATAAGCCCCTTGATGGTTGGTATATTTTTATGCTCATCTTTTTCTGCATCTGTATGCCTGAGCACATAGCAGGTTTTCAACAAGTATTTCCCAAACAATAAATGTAGCAGAGGACTCAAGAGCTGGCACTCAGTGGCTAGTAAAAGCAGTAAGATGTTGTGAGATGTAAAAGAAAGTACAACTCAGGCCTGAAGGAGCAATTGAGACTTTGACATTGAGCTCACTAAAGAATTGTGTGCCAAGTCTGGGATGAAAAACATTTCTATTTTTTTCCCTTTTTATATCTGTTTTTCTTTTTTTATTTTTATATCATTTTCAGAGGATTCACCCCAAATCCTCTTTTCCACTCCAAACTGGTTCACCTCAAATTTGATTATTTTGTGGAGAAAGACAAATCGAGTATAGAGACAGTGGCAAGTTAGTGAGGAAAGGGTAGGTGATGGAGATGTAAATACAGCATGACAAACACAGGAAGATAGGAAGCTCATCAAACTAGGTGTTTCAAGTAAAATAGTTGAAAATAAGACCATATGTAAGGGGGTGGGTTCTGATACCCTTTGGCTGAATTTAAATCCCAGACCTATTTGCCTTAAGCCCACTAGTTAATATCGTGAACTTTAGTTTCCTCAGAATTTATAAAATGGGGTAACAATAACACCTACCTCAAAGGGTTGTTCCCAGGATCAGTGAGACAACTCATTTTACAAGTTTAGCATAAGTGGCATAAGGAAAACGCTCAGTTTTTGTTAGCAGTTATTTTTCTGTAAAATGAAGTACAGCGAGGAGACATCCTACGTAGCAAATTGTTGTATGATTGTAACAGTAAGAAGTAGTAAGCTCAAAGAAGCAGAGATGATACATTGGCACTTACATTTCGGGTACAGCAAAGGCTTTGCCTATGACAAGACTGGCACAGTACAACGCCTTGCAGCGGTAGCTGCTTTATACCTTCAGAAAGGAAAAAGAAAAAAAATGCTCATACAAATCTATTCTAGGAAAAATTTGTTTCGCTCATGAGGGTCACTTTCGACGACGGGCACTTCAAACCGCGAGGAGAGCAACCCCGGATCCGGTGAAGAGTTTTTTTCTGGCCATGCTGGGCAGAACCCATAGGTGACTAGCCCGCCATTGTTCTGCGTCTCTGGGGGTTTCCGCCCCTAAATGCGACGGCAGTGGCCTCACCTGGTCGGCTCAGCTGTATCTTGTCACAAGAACGGAATCGAAGATCCATCCGCATTCCGGCCAACTACAGGTGATAGCTAAGGTAGCAGAGCCCAGCCGTGAGAGAAACTAGAACCTCCGCTCTAGGACCGCCCAGGAGTCCGTCTCTGCCCATTGGTCGCCTGACATTCCAATACCCGCCCTCAAATTTGAAAGCTTCTTCCGGGAGCCAGTTGAGAGCCCGCACAGGAAGCCGGTGTCCCGGAGTGCCCGCCGGAGCCCCGCCCACTCCCAGCATCCACTGCGGTGCTGTAGCCGCCATTGTTTGAATTTGGAAACGAAAACATCGCGGTGCTGCTCGCGGGTCCTTAGGTCTCCAGTGTTGTAGGTGAGGCGGTACTGGTGAGGGTGAGGAGGAAGAGAAGAAAGAGGAGGTGGGTGACTGGGTGTATAGCAAGCCTAAGGCGGAGAAATAGCTGTAGCAATGTTCACATATTCCGTCGTGGTTCGAAACGCCCCTCAGGAAAGAGTTTTAGAGCTGTGGGGCGTGGTGAGGATTGAGTCATACTACTCGGGTTATGGTTTAAATCTTGTTTCAACCGCATATTTGCTGATTGACGAAAGACAATTTATTAATCTCCTTGGGCCTCGGTTTCTTCATCTATTAAAGAAGGTAGATAGTACCTACTTCTTAGCGCGCTTGTGAAGACTGGTAATTTGTAAATTGTCAGCAGTAACGTAGTTGTGAAAACATTGCTTGCACGTAAGAAGACACTGCGAGTTTGCAATCATTGATCTTTTATTGCAGTCATTAGTAGCTTCTGTTAAGAATAGGCCTGTATGCCATGCTTACATTCCTGAATCTGTGAGATGAGTAGTTTGTTCAGCCGGTGACATGGCCTCTTAATGGAGAAGCTCAGTGTGAAATACCAGTTGGGCTCTGAATGACTAAAAATAGGCTTATTCGGGCTATATTGAAATTGTATGCATCCTGCATACAGATTTCAGTTGGGATCGTGAATTAAGCCTGCTAGTTCCTGAATTAAGGGCTTTGGTTCTGAGGTTCTCAAAGCTGTGTACAAGTTATAAGTACGCTCTGAATGCCCCTTTACTCCTTCTCAGGCCAGGAATCCTAGTTCAGCAGTCACCACTGCTCTGGATGTTTATAAATTCATCTAAGAACAAAATTGAGATTGGTATTGTAAACTTAGTAGATTCTTAGTATTTGAATGTTATTTTTTCAGTGATAGTTACTTTTAAGTTTATTTTGGTGATTTGATGTTTAATTCATTTGTAATAATTTACGGATGCATTATTCATTTTAAGACCTGTGATGTGTCAGGGTGTTTTGTAAACGTACCTATGTATTTTTGTGGTACTGAGTATTGAACTCGTGTTACTGCCGCAGGTCAAGTACTAGTTTAAATGTATTCAAACGCATTTCACTTTTTACTTGCACATGGAATAATTAAGTAAAGTAATTTTCCAGATAATTGAGTTTAACTTCTAAGTGTTAAAATAATATTCTTCAGAAGATGCTAAATAACTAAAATAACACAAGGTCATTAAGCCACTCTGTGATCTCTTTACTATGGGATTTCTGAAAGGAGCTCAGGCAAAGAGTGAATGTTGCCATACTTAACAGATTACATGTATTTGGGAAATCCTTTTGGATGGATCTACTGATAGTTTGGCTTGTGTAAATAGTAGTAGACAGTGTTCAGTATTATTTGATTCAGATTCTGTAAATTTGATTTTTGTCTTTGATAGTCATTGTGTTATAAATGAAGCACTGTAAATATTTTCCTTCTATAAAGTATAGTTATTTGGAGGGAAGTAGTGGGCTGGACTGTAGACTTTTAAGTTGTGGGTGGTGTGTGACTTACTAAAGTTGTCTAAAACTCTACTGTATCCCTAAAATGTACCAATAAACTCAATTAAAGCTGAAAAAAAAATAAAGTCTTCAGAGCCAAAAAAAAAAAAAATGTAGTCGTTATTGTTGCAGAATGGAATCTAACTTGAATCAAGATGGAGTGCCTAGACCATCCTATGTTTTCAGTGCTGATCCTGTTGAAAGGCCTTCAGAAATAAATTTTGATGGCATCAAACTTGATCTTTCTCATGAATTTTCCTTAGTTTCTTCAAACGCTGAGGTAAATACAAAATAATTATATTTGTTATCATGATTGAGAGGAAATGTGTGCATGTGACTACAGTAGAGATTCCCAAACTTTCTGGGTTTATGGGAACTTAGTATTTTAGTAACTTTTTCATGAACTCTTGCAAATAAAAAGAAAAATAAATAAACAAATAAAAGTTTCCATATAGTACATCCTTTTTTCTATAGTAGGTTTTTTTTCAAATAGCAGGTCTGACCAGCTTAAGTATAATCTGGTAAGCATTTAAAAAATATAAATGAAAAAGCATTTTGGGGTTTCATTCTTTGATAATCACACTTAGTAACAAGTGGGATATTTGTGTGACCTGCTTTATTGTGATATTTGCTGTATTGTGATCTAGAACCTGAAATGTGAAATACTTTTGAGGTATACTTGTCCTGCCCTTAGGTCTTCTGCCAGTAAGAAACTTTTAATTACTGTAATATGGAAATAAGTCTCAGAATCAGATAGTCCTCCAAATTTCTTTTTTAAGAGTTTTGCTCTTCTATGCACTTTATATTTCTAAGTGAATTTTAAAATAAACTTATCAATTAAAAAAAGCTTGAGATTACATTGAATCTGTAGACCAATTATAAAAAGAATGTATCTTAACAATATTGAATTTATCAAACAATGAACAAGGTGTAACTCCTTTTAATTTGATCTCATTAATCTATCTGCGGTTTTGTGTACAAGTCTTATGTCACATCTTTTATCAATTCATCTCTCAGTATTTAAGAATTTTTGACTCTTGTTAATATGTTACATTTTAAAATCAGTTTCTTAGTGTTTCCAGTATAGATACAAAAACAGTTGATTTGGCCTGTTGGTTTTTATCATGTTACTTTTTTTTTTTTAAATCTCACCATGTAGTCTAGGCTAGTCTCCTGTATATCCCAGGCTGGCTGTGAAGTTGTGGCAATCCTCTTGCCTCAGCCTCCCAATTGCTAGGATTACAGGTGTGTACCCCATGCTGGACTCAACATTGTTAACCTCATTTAGTAAACTCATTATTAAACTCATTTACAGTACCTTTTTATTGTATTGTATGGGTAGATTCTCATGTTGTCTGTGAACACACAATTTTATTTCTTATTTTCTAATTTGGATGTTTTCTGTTTATTGAATTTTTATTTTTGACTTATTGGACTGTCTAGAACTATTCAATGTTGAATAAAAATGATGAACAGAAATCTCTGTTTAGTTTTGCATCTTGCTACTCATCTTTCATAATTAAGTTGATATTAGCTATAGATTTTTTTGTAAATACCCTTTATTGGGATGTTTCCATTCCACTTTGTTAAGAATTCTTGCTGTGAAGGATGTTGAATTTTGTCAACTGCTTATTTTATTTGTGTAGAGTTAAGTTTCTTTTCAATTACTTTTTAAAACTAGGTGTGTTACCCTAGTTGATTTATGAATGCTAAACTGACTTACTGTATTCCTGAGATAAACCATTTTTGGTTGTGGTGTATCGTCCAGTTTTATATATTGCCTAGTATTTTGTTAGGGAAATTTTGCATTGATCTTAATGTGATACGTAGTTTTATAATTTTTTTCTGAAAAGATCCTGGTCAGATTGTGGTATCAAATTATGTCAAACTCAAAATTTCTTGAGGTGTTTTCTTATATTTTATTAAAGAGTTTATGTGTGGTTTTATGATTATGCCTTTAAATGTTTGTGAGAATTTGTTAGTGAACTTCCAGGGCCTGTTGTTTTTTTGTGTGGAAGATTATTTTGTTTGGTAATGGATTAAATTTCTTTGACAGAAATTTACTCAGATTTTGTATCAATCTAATAAGTTTTAACTTTTCAAATATTTCCTTTTCCTCTTCAAAAAACTTAAAATAGATTTGTTGAGATTTTCTTTAAATATAGAAAAGCATATAAAGTGGTTGGAAATAGAATAATGACTGCTTAGATATTCTATGTGTAACCAATCAGCCGTGTTAAGGAGTAATGATCTATAAACAGTCATTTCTGTATTTTGAAAAGACAGTTTTGTTCTTCTTTAGGCAAAAAGTTTGGAGTCCAAAGATTATCTCCAAGTTTGTCTTCGAATAAGACCTTTTACACAAGCAGAAAAAGAACACGAGTCTGAGGTTTGTGTTGAATTTAATTGGATTTTAATATTTCCTTTTCATTAAACAGACGAAATACTATTATTCTTATTTATTCTGGCAATATGTTGTAGGGCTGTGTGCATGTTGTAGATACACAGACTGTTCTGCTGAAAGATCCTCAAGTCATTCTTTGCCGGTTAAGTGAGAAAAGCTCTGGGCAGATGGCACAGAAATTCACTTTTTCCAGAGTAAGTACCTTGTGAAATGGAACTTTTTTTGTGGGGGCAGTATAGAATAGGGGTTGGCACTTGGGGTTGAACCCAGTGCATTAGGCATACACAGCATGTGTTCTGCTGAGCTATTCCCCTACTTCCCTACTCTTCCCCTCCTTTTTGTATTGAACTATTTATTTTGTGCTCATAGAACTTAGACCTCTGGCACTTGTATTTTTACCTAAGAATAAGATTCAAATTTTAGGTCTATAAATATATAATGGAGATTGAGAAAAATCACTGTAATCTTAATTTTTAAAAAATTTGTGGAAACATTCTGAAACTAAGATGAAAACATGATTGGCTGTGTGGGTTAGATTTCTTATCACTAAAACCTGCAGGTGTAAGTTAAATTCTGAGGTATACTTTTGGTAGTGGGGATATATAGCCTGTTTTGAGAAAAATCTTATAAAACCAATCTTGTATGTTTGTTAAATATGAGAGACAGGGTGGAACTCATTACAATTATTTACTTGATTTTTCTAAAAAGATGTGTTAAAAATGCTTTCTTAGGTTTTTGGCCCAGAAACTTCACAGAAAGAATTCTTTCAGGGTTGCATTTTGCAGCCAGTAAAAGACCTCTTGAATGGACAGAGTCGGCTGATTTTTACTTATGGGCTAACCAATTCAGGAAAGACATACACATTTCAAGGTAAATCTTGTTTGTCTAGAAAGGAACAAGAAGCAATAATATTCTCACAGTATTTTATAATTTGCATTAGTTATGTTTCTATCATCTAATATATATCATCTAGTAGTTATGTTTCTATTATTAGTTTTTTTTTGTTTTTTTTTTCTGGCGCTGGAGATCAAACCCAGGGCTTTATGCATGCTAGGCAAGGGCTGTATCACTGAGTTGCATCCTTGGCCCTATTACTGATGGCTTTTATTTAATCCACTTGTAAAATTATCCATTTGATAAAGGATAATGTGATAAGAATTTAGAAAAAGGGTTGAGGTGATGTAGAGAATTAAGCTTGGATCACCAGTGAGACCTTATTTCACTTTACTTTTATGTTTTGTGATTATCGATGATTGCAGATCTTAATATTATGGCCTGATCTGAATGTAACATTTCAGAATTTGCCCTAGAATAGTCAAGAAAATGTTGGTAATACAGTGAAGACCAAAGTGATGGAAAAATTGAATCATCTCTCAGTTTCTCTCACTTTAATTGCTTACTTTTGTCTATTGCTAGCCTAAAAGGAAGTTTTATTAGCTTACTTTCCTTCTGGTCTGAGAGAGTATAACAAAATTTCCTTTCTAGGTACAGAAGAAAATATTGGCATTCTGCCTCGAACTTTGAATGTATTACTTGATACTCTTCAAAAAAGACTATACACAAAGATGAACCTTAAGCCACATAGATCTAGAGAATTCTTACGGTTATCACCGGACCAAGAGAAAGAAGAAGGTGCTGGCAAAAATGCATTACTTCGACAAATTAAAGAGGTATACAAGTATTTTAGTATGTAGAATATATGTAATTACTTTTTATAAACTAGATTGTTTCAACATATATTACCAGTTGCTTTGTGGTGCTGGCAAAATTTTTTTCTTTTTCTTTTTTTTTTTTTTTTTCCGGCTTTTTGAGACAGGATCTCACTGTGTAGTTGAGACTGACTTGGAACTCGCTATGTAGCCCAGGCTGGTCTCCAACTCACAGCGATCCTCCGGCCTTAGTCCCAAGTGC